TCTGGCTGCAGGTTTTTAACCTATACAGCTGAAACATGCTCAAACATTTTGGTGAGCAGAACATTATTTGATGACCTGGATGACTGAGAACCTTCACAGACATTTTGTGACAGAGTATTTTGCCTTGAGTTTTCGACTGATTTGAGCGTGTTAGCTGTCCTTAATTATTTTATGAAGTTGAAAGTTACAAAAGAGGAAACAAAGAATTTAAGCATGATGATTTTAATGATTTCCCAAGTGGAGTGTGTGGTGAACTGTTATGAGGCTATTTTACATTACAAATCTATAATCTGCTTTACCCCCAAACAAACAATCTTCAAGAGACTCGTACCTGTTTTTGATAAATCAGCAGGCATGTCTCCAGTGTGAAGGCTCTTTAGCTGGAAGATCGGCACACTCAGAGAGTGAAGAGAGGGAGGAAATTAAATTAAATTCATGATGACAAAATCCAGTTTCATTGTTAAAATAATTTTAAATATGCAGCTTAGATTTGGTGAAACTTTACTGCATTGAAAGAACTCAAACCTCTTATCAGAAATAAGGTCAACACTGCAGGGAAGGCATGAAGTCACATATGCAACCTTGGGAAATTAAAATATTTACTCTGTGGAAAGCAATAAGCTGCACCTTCACAGCAGTATCAATACCACAAACTTCACAGATACAGAACATGTACAAACATGATACAACAGTATGCGGCACTGCTGCCCACCTTCCTCTTGTCGAGTTGCGTTCAGGGTTTCCCAGTACCAGAGGTAATCCACAGGGGAAGCTTCTCTCACACATTTTCACAGTATGTCGCTAAGGCTCATCTTGCAGGCAATTATGGTGGTGTAAAAGAAATCAGCCACCAAAAACACTTATGTGGATGTAGTACAGCCAGTGAATGTTTTAAAGGACACTCTGTAGTGTCTTATATTTGATCTAAACAGGACTATTATACAGTACTACAGTTTTTACAGCATGTTAACATTACATCAGTGATGTTGAACTAAACTTGGAGAAACATCTCCACTATTATAAAGCATTCTAATATATATTTATTTTACATTATAATCATGAGAAATTATGCAAAATTACATTATAACCTGTAAATATTATGTGTTCACAGCCATACATGAGTATTCCTGTTCCAATATTTTATTTTCAAGCAGCATGATTGTGAATAGTTAAACCATGAAAGTATTACCCGTGCCCTTGACTCTGAGTTAGATATTGGAAGCGCCAGATATTTCTGAGACCCACACAAAACCCCACACAGGTCAGCGTGTACCAGAACTTGTTGCCGGTCTCCAGCCTCTTCCACCTCCAGCTCACCCAGCTGCCGATGGGGCAATATCCTGTCCTTCAGGCCTGTGTCGGTTAGTTTTTGCTTCTTTATCAGTGAAACACTGTAGTATTGTGGTGATACAGTAGTTCACTGTTCAGTGCTGGAATGTAAATTGTGGCGCACACTGTGAGATAATATGAACTAGATGTTTGTGATGGATTGACTAGTCCGTGGTGTCATAGAGCATCAACTGGAGGTGTGCTGCCTTTGAAGCTTAAGCTCAGAATGAATATAACGTAGGATATAACGTGAGAGTTAACTGCGGTGTTCTATGATGGAGAGAGGTAAATCCACAGAAGCCACTGCTCGTGTGAGGCTCACTCTTTTATAACATTGGTTGTGTGGGCCTCCCTTAAAGCGTTGATTCGTCCAACTGAAGAAAACAGTTTTTTTGACATAGATCAAAAAATTGTTGAAACTCTGAGAACATATACACAAAAAAGTTTAAGCAAAGTTTAATCTGTCTACACAAAAATAACATTTTTTTAACTAGACAATGTGTAAAATATAAAATATAAAAAACATAAAACCAATGCTCACTTAACAGACATTTTTCTATCATTTAATTGTTAATCTATTACTTAACAACTTAAATACTTAGTGTAGTGTAGATGGCTGTGAGGGAGGTCTTTATTAGCAGGAAAAGCTGTAAAACTTGTGAAAATGCAGTTAAAAGTCCAAGCATGTATGCCCACCTTCATATTTTCCAAAGCCGTCCAGCAGGCCAGATTAGAGTCTTTGCCGGGCCGATTCTGCCCTCGGGCTTATGTTTGACATCCCTGCATTAGTGACAGTGAATAAAACAGGGAATTTAGCGTTGAGTGGCAGTACTCCAGGTCGTTCAATGTTTGACTCAAAGTACAGTTATCGTATGCCTGACTGATTTTAATTAAGACAACACTGATCCTGTGCATGAGCGCACACTCGCCCTCGGTTTCTTAGGCAAATTTACGCCTTGCATGTCACATCCAGTTTCAGAACACCAAGAACCCAACGATGAAAACAATCATTTTGAGGCTTCGCAACAGGACTTTACTAACCAACAGACAAGAGTCAGAGTGGCTACATCTGTGTTTATATATGTAGTCTGTGAATGGGACCAAGACCAAAAAGATATTTACACAGACGTGTACTGAGATGAGTGATCACAGCTGGACGAGAGTGCTGGGTTTAATCTATTTAGCATTTACTGTGTAAGTTCATTACGCAGACACATACAACACTTATAACTGCAGACAATAGTTATTAGTTATTATTAAACTCTCTCTCTCTCTCTCTTCCACAGCGTGTCTTTGTCCTGTATTCTTCTCCTCACCCCAACCGGTCAGGGCAGATGGCCTCGCCCCTCCATGAGCCTGGTTCTGCAGGAGGTTCCTTCCTGTTAAAAGGGAGTTTTTCCTTCACACTGTCACCAAGTGCTTGTTCAAAGGTGGTTTGATTGTTGTGGTTTTGTCTCTATTATTGTAGGTAGGGTCTTTATCTTAACATTTAAAGTGCCTTGAATTGAACTGAATTGTGCTACATATAACTTTTGATCCAAAATAAGAAGGTAAGTTATGGGCTCCATAGAGTCTATATTAAGTTGACTTCTGTTGCTGTAGGCAATGAGAGCCCCATTTTCTCATCTGCAAGATCAGGTTGGTGAATTAGAGCACTCTTTAGCTGGCAACCTAGTCTAGCTCAGTGGTTCTCAAAGGTTTTTTGTTACAAGGCATCATCTGTGGAAACAAATATTTCTAGGGCACAGATTTACATAGCTGTAGCTTCAGATGATAAATTCAAGGTATGTCGGTTTGTATTCAAAGAATTGCTTTTTTAAATTAAACTAAATGTAAGCTAATCTTTAAAGTTCTTTTTCCAGATTGAAGACTTTGTTGGCTGGATTGTATTTATGAGCTTGAGTGAATAGAGGTTAAAGAGAACTGGAGGAGAGAGAAAAGCACCGTTAAGACACCGAAGAGCTAATGGACAGGTGAAAAAAATGTTTAAAAAACAGACTAAAGCTTGTTTTAGTTTAAAGAGTTCTTTCAGCTTTCTTTTTATTTTGCCTATTGTTTACTGGACCTTGGTGCAGCCCCTCAGTTCATCTACTGTATGAGACAATCTGTTTTAATCCTCCCCTCTTAAAGACCACCCTCCATTTCTCTGTATGTATTATTGTAGGGTCTACATTACAATATAAAGTGCCTTGAGGTGACTATTGTTGTGATTTGGTGCTGTATAAATAAAATTGAATTGAATTGAATTTAAGGCAATTTCTGATTGGCTGCCACTCGAAAACAGATGATTTATGAGCAGCTGGGTGATGCTGCATGGTTTTTAAATGACCATATTAACATCAAACAGACAACAATTTAATGTTTGTCTGGAAAGCCTTGGAGTCCTGGCATTTATGTGGATGGCACCTACTTGAACGAAAGCACTCCTCAGTGGCAGCAGCCTCCTCCACCACAAATCCACCACAAATGCTACTTAGGAACAACTCGAGGAACGTTAAAAACCCAGTGCTTTGACCTGGCCTCGAAGCTTCCCAGATCCCTGTCTAAACAGGGAGTGCCCGGAACAAGCCCAAACCACAGAGCTATAGCAGAACTTTGCCTTCTTGTGTTTCTTGTAGAAAGCCTTGAAGGCTTGTTTCGTGTATCCCTGAAGGCCCCACCCAACAACCCATACCAGCCAAGGTTGTGCTGCCAACATGCCAGTGTGTAGAGACAGCCCCAGAGGCTCTGTGGCTATGCACTGACAGGTCAGAACTGTTCGAGGCTCAGGGTGGACCTACGCAATGTTAGACAGCTGACTCTAGAGATGTTTGGAGATTTGTTTCATATTTTTCAATTGCTCTAACCACTCCCATGAAGCATCACTAACCAGGGTATAAGCATAAAACTAAGTAATACAGAAATGTACCATAAGGCGTATTTTTAGACAGCTCATGAATTTACTTCTAGATCCTACATATTGCTGTTAGATGCATTTTTTTTCAAAATATATGCAGCATTGTGTTTTTTTCTGGTAAAAAAAAACATGGTTATCATAGTTAACTAAAACTAAATGGGAAAAGAAATTGTTATCTAAAAGGAAAAAAACCTAGACCTTTTGTGAACTTTTAAAACAGCAATTAAAATAAAATAACATTACAGAATAAATCCTTAGTTTAGGTGTTTCTAATTTGTTAACATTTGTTATCACAAACTGCATGATGAGGGTTTAAAGCATCCGTTTATTAAAGTTTGGGTGTCTACAAGGCTGCGAGTCAACTGCTGTCAAAAAGCTCTGTTTATATTGTAATATCTAATTATTTTCCTAAATCTCATCTCTGGCATTTCCCATGAATGAAAAAGTAATAAACATTAAAAGTGAACAACATTAAAACACTGAACCTAAATATTTTAAGCTGAAGCAAGAAAATCCACTCTGGAAACTCACTGAAACTAAACTGAATTAAAAGGTCAAAGCGAAACAAAAATAAAAACTAATAAGAAAACACAAATATGTTATAACTCTGGTGTCCACTATAGCTCTAGTGTGTGTTTGTCAACACCGAGTTGAAGGACTGTCAGCATCCGTTTTGCTTTTTTCCCACTGGAGGCCGCTATAGCGCGTGTAATCCGAGTTTGGCCGGGCTGACTGGGACCTGGCTTGCAGTGTCCCTTCTCAGGCTTTATGCATGAGGAGGGAGCCGCTTCCCATAGACCAGGCGCCAAGTGTAGCAGTGCCGTCCGCAGTCTGCCTCAGCACCTCAACCGCCCGCAATGCCCTTGGACACTGGCGCTCCGCTCGATTCCGCCACGCACTGACTAATCGTGACATCTCAGCGAGTTACTCCGGATCTCTACTTTGGGACTTTTTGCGCACACTGTCCTGACACATCTACGCTGAGTGAAACAAATGGGGAAGGTCCAAGGATAACAGGGTGCAGGATTTTGTTACTGCAGAAGACCTGCCGGTAGTTCGCTGTCCGGAGGGGGGGCTGGCTGCGCCTCTGTCAGAGACCGTAGTGCCGCATCCACTGTTTTGATCATCTAAACTCGCCTTGCATGGATACATCATGGCTACATTTATATGCAGGGTGCAGTTTTTAGATGATACTGATCCATTTAACAGCACCAATTTCCCCGAGCCCACCAGACCGCCTCTGTACACCTTCAGGGAAGATATCCCTCTGATAAATCAGATTGCTGGAGTCCACAGGCTGTTAAAAGCCCCACACAAGGTATGCAACGCACGATTAACCTCTTGATTTTGTTTTTGTGCACGTTTCGTTAAAAGCACGAGTTAAAATGTAACATCAACGCCTAAATTAATAATTAGCTTGAACAGGTCGATTGTGTTACTACCAAACAAAACCAATTCACCAATGAGTAAGCACTTTGTTGATAGGGGATGCTGATGGGACATAGACGTGCATTCAAATAGTTACTGATTCTCGGCGTGATAGTTCTGTGATAGACAGAATAACTCCAGGCGGTGTAGGCGTAGATTAGATACCTATTATTTGGGGTGGGGGAGGGGCTGCCATCGGTTAATATTTACATCAATTACCCACCTGTGCACTGCCAAGACTTTAGGTGCTCCTTCAAAGTTTGGAAAAAAGTATCCTGTTTGTGGTTGGCAAAGGAGGAGACGCAAACAAATAAGCAAAAAAGACATTTGTGGTTGCAGTCTTAATGATTGTTTGACTTGAAAATCTAACCTCCTCAAAGGAAAAAAAAACCAACTTATTTGTGGGAGAAGGCGACCTATTTGCAGTGTCATAAATGGACAGACTGGAAGCCCATGTGGAGAATTAAAGTAGGTTGGGTCAAATCATGCTCAGTTGGTCAATTCTTGACGGCTGGAAAAGGGTAATTTCCCACTTGGCTTGATTAGATCTGTGATTTTGATTTGGCAACATGTCTTCCTAATCAAACGTGTTTTTTTTCTAGCCCCTTTTTTTTGTATTTTGACTCTGTTAACCAGCTTTTCTTTAGTCTGAAATAGAAAGGTATTTGTGTTTGATCACCCTCAATTTTCAGGCTCCATTTACTGCTTGGTTTTTGAGGAGGTGAAGCAGTGCACATTCTTTTTGGTTGCAAACAATGGCCTTCCCAAGATCCAAAATGTTGGAGACAGTAGTTGACAAAAGTAGACCTGAAACTCATTTTCTTTTTCTCCCTTTGGATGCCTCCAGAAGTTAAATGTCTTGGCATATTTCTGCCTCTTGAATAGATTTTGTGAAGCCCCATCTACTGACCTTTAAATTTAAACAAATCACAGAGACCATATCATCTGAGGCTGAGTCTTTTTACTGAGCATTCGTCTTAGTCTGGGTAGAAAGTTGCATAAATGGGGAGTTAATTTGGGTCTTTATTCATTCTGTCAGATCAGTGGTACTCCATCTTGTTTGAGTCAAGCTGGTGAGATAAGTCATAGGAGCCTCAGGATGCTGTGGATCACCACAAGCCAGGCTCTCATTCTGCAGCCTATTCAGTCTGACCAGCAGCATGGGATGGGGACGCTTTCCACCGAAAAGGAAGTGGGCAAAATTAAAAACACAAACAAGGAGCTGATGTACTTTGCACCGTCTCAGTTTAGCTGCAGACCAGCTGGACCGCAAAGCAGGCAGAGAGGGAGTACCTGTGGTTGGCTGCGCAGGGCCTGGTTAGTGAGATTTGGTCACATGGGCATTGGTGGTTAGCCGTAAGTTGAGGGGGAAGTCCCTGTTCTTCTCGTAAACAAAAACAGTCAGGTGGGTGACGCAACTGCGTCGCCGCGCTTGACCAAGCAGCTCCCTGATTCACACCATCAGACGTTTGAAAACGAGACTTTAGTGCGACCTTGTGAATACAGCAAGGCTGTCTTATCCCTACAGTGCAGGCCATTCTGTTATAAATAGTACGTGACCAACACATGGTGCAGGGGCAATCAAAACAGCTGACATATGCTGTTTTAGGGATTTTACTGTCATTTTCTGTGGGCATTCTCCAGAGTGGAGATCAGTTGTGTGTGCTGGATTGGGTTATACATGGGATGACAACTTGGAAAAGTAGCTGTACAGAGTCGAATATCAGTTTGTAGAAACTGATTTTTATAGCTGCACAAGGTTAATTTTTAATAGTGAAAACTCTCAGTGAGGGTGGGAGACTCACTTGAAATGTGATGGTATGTCTTATGTACAGTACATCATAGTGTAATATAGTTTGTAGTATCTTTTATTCTGCTTGAAGACCATTTTGTATAATATAAATCTGGTATCTTTTGTGCTGCTTCGGTAAAAGGGAGTGATTCCCACCTCACCCAGACATTTGGTTTTCTAGTGAATAATGCATTGTCTTCAGCGTTATTCAGAGTTATTCAAAATATTCAGTTTTTCAGGGCAAATCAATAGCTCATTACTCCTTCATTTACTTTCTTCTCTCTCTGTGTTTTGTATTTTGGGGTTTTGTGGCCCAGAGGCCTTGCATCAGTTTATAAAAACAGAATTTAAGCGAGGTCTTGAAGAATGGACTCTCACTTTACCAATTTCAGCTTGTGGGACAGTTGTTTTTCTGCATTTTTTTGTCCCATAATGAGAAGTTATGTTAAATGCTGCAAAATGTAGGTTCCTGCTTCAGGCCTGTCAGAGCTCCCTTTGAATTCTTTTACACATTGTCATGCAGATTTGAGGTTCTCTTAATTTGGAGTGTTGTCTCAGCTCCTTTCAGAGGAACATATCGAAGGAAAAAGTTGCCTTGGACTGGACAGGAAAATTAAGGTTACTGTTGTGGTTTTGTGTTCATGCATCAGGTGTAATGTGTTTTAAATCACTTGCTCTCACAGAAATATCACAAATTGCATCTCCACCTTATCGAGCAAATGTGAAGCTTTTAAAGTGGCCAGATGTTAATCCTCTAAACTGATTTGTAGTCCACTGTGGTTGCTATATAGACGTCTTTACCGTTTTCTGTGCTCTGTCTTCTTCTGCTGGTCAAGTGAATGGCAGCCCCTGTGTGTGATTAAATAAAAAAAAAAATAAAAAAAGGGTTGTCCTGTCTACATGTTGAGCACTCCGCTGGTCAAAGTTGCAGCTCTGTTAACACACATTACTAGTGAACCATATTCCCTGTTTCCATTAGAGCTACCAAACAGGAAGTGAGTTCATATGTCATCAACACTCTTGACCCATTTTTGGGTCAGAGTGCAGTTTACCATTTGGAGAAATAGCAAGAACCAAAAAATGTCATTTGTTTCCAAACTGATGATCTGTTTGCTTTAAATCAGTGATTCTTGTGCTGGCACCACTTTTTGTTTGTATAAATAAATAATAATAGAGAACTTGTTTTTCCCTTCAGTGCTTACAGCCACACTTTTAACACAATGAGATCAAACTGCAGGCTGAACTGCTTGGCCCCCTCATCGCTGCTTACAGCTAGCTTTCCAAATGTCTTTCCCATCTGGAATATAAAGAAATTTGGAGTGAGATAGCAGTTTTAATTTTGAAATTGCATGGTGTTTATTTTTAGTTCTTTCTGCCTTAACCGCCTTCCTGGTCAGTGGACCACAGTATGGTGGTTGAAGGGAGAGGCCAGACCTCAGTGTGTGAGCAGAGGAGCTTGTGGTTGCTTCTCTGGACTTGGCCATCACAGGGCCACTGTGGGTTCAAGTCCTGGGCAGGAGACAGCTAAAGAAGTCTCTGCCTCTGATAATCTGGTAGCACTTATTCCTGGATTAAGAGCTGTTTAAAGTGCATCAACCTGGCTTGGTTGTACATTGTAATTCCTGTGAAGTAATCCACACTGATTATATAAAGAGCGCCTAAAGTGACACTGGTTAGAGGATAGATTTATGGCTATATGGAAGAAAAGATGGGTGTACAGATGGGGATTAGTTAATGGCAAACTTGTGTAATTCACTGCAAGTTTTTTTTTTTTAAGTTTTTTTTCTTGCCTGTGTTGATTTTGGTCTGCAAGTCAAACCCATGTGTGGGGAATTGCATTTCTTGGTTCCACAGTTGGCTAATTACTGGTTACAGCTGCAGATTCAGCCCAGTGTTTTGTGCAGTTCAGGTTGTAATACAGAGTGAAGCCGAAAGAGTACAAATATTTTGTTTGGTCTTGTTATCTAATCCGCCTTTTTTAGTATGTAAAGTATAATTTAAAGTATAATATATACAGTATAAAATAGCAAAATGATAAATCTACCTGTAATAATGTATTTGGGTTTTTTGGATTGTAATTTAGTGGCATTTGCACAGTCATAATTATAGGGCTTATACAATTCAGTTTAGTTTTATTTATATAACACCAAATCACAAGAATAGCCACCTTAAGGAGCTTTATATTGTAACGTAAAGACCCTATAATAATAGAGAGAAAACCCCAACAATTAGATGACACCCCCCCCATGAGCAAGCACATGGCAACAGTGGGAAGGGAAATCTCCCTTTTAACAGGAAGAACCAGGCTGCTTGGGGGTGAGGGGTGGGAGACAGGACAAAAGACACGCTGTGGACGAGAGCCATTTAATTATTAATAATAACTAGTAGTTAAATGCAAAGCGGCATATACAGTAAGTACAAAAGAGTGAAAAGAAGTGAGTGAAGGTGAAATGCTCAGTGCATCATGGGAAGTTTGCATTTTCTCCCTGTGCCTGTGTGAGTCCTCTCCAGGTGTGAATGTGAATGGTTGTCGGTCTCTCTGCGTTAGCCCTGTAACGGACTGCCAACATGTCCAAGGTGTGTTCCAGCCCCTCCTGTAACTCTGAAATGGATAAGTGGAATAAAATAGATGGATGGACAAAAAGGCTAACCTCTACTGACTTATGGTCATGTAGTACATATTTTTTTCAAACATTAAGGAAACCACATTTGGAAACGTAAAGTTGACATTCAACAAAAATACGTTGTTTCTGGGATTGTTGAGTTTCTTACAGGTTATTTAAGGCCCAGCTACTGGTCACTCCATACAGTATGATTTAAAGTGTCTTCTCTGTCATGCAACATTTCATATTACTATCCCTCTTTTTATTTTCAAAGGCATGTCAGTCCATAGGCATAAAAAAACAGAAGGGAAAAAAAAGAAGAAATCATGGGCCTAACTTGGGCCCCTATGCCTGGTTTTCCTGTCAGGCCAGAATCTGTCTTGTAATCTGGAGAATCACTTGCTTCCCGCTACTGACTATGTGCAGAATAGATGTGCTTGTTTTCACTCGCAAGTCTTTTTCTATCACGCCCTGCCTCACCTGAAGAACATCTACAAATAAGACTTGCAGATGTCTTGGAAAGGGCACAATCTCCTCACCTGTCTCCTGCGTCAACCCCATGCTTTGCCTCATCCCCCGATGTCTCCTTTAGAAAAATGATATTCAGCTCCGCTTCTACATCTTTTTATATTCCCAATAATCGTTTGGTTTGGGCAGCAAACAAGACAGCTCCGAGCCAGAGAGTGAGTTGGAGAGAGACTGAAAGTTATCCCAACCAACCACATGTTTTGTTTCAGCTCTCAAATATGACACAGTCCTTGAGTGCTGTAGTGCAGTAATGCAGAGTGGCTGAACAGATCAAAGCTGTAATGTCTTTCCCAGGGTTGTTCTTTCACGTTTAATTAAGTTACTGTCATATGCGGAAGGAAATTGAACTGCATCGGACCAGGCAATAACTGGTCCGATTTAAAAAACACATGGTTTTGCATGTTAAACTTATGTTTACATGTGTTGTGCATTAAGAGAGAAATTCTTGCAGGCTGCCTATGTAAGTAGTATTTATGGAAGGGTATCATTGCCTTTGTTGCTTTACAAAGCCCAAGTGAGGGCTGACAAAAAAGACAGGTTACTGGAGTTCAACGTATTTGTACAAATCGTTGTTGGTTTAGACACTCGGATTGTTGATGGTGCAGAGCAGTGCCACTCTCTGCACTCGCATCATATGTTCGCCCTCCCATAATGGTATTTGTTTTCCTTTACTCTGCTTCGCTGTTGGAGCCGCTGTCCTGTGGAGCTGACAGACTCTGAATATAAATAGGTTAATATCTCCAATTTGGAGGTCAACCAGACAAGTGAACAGTCACTCTCATTCTTCATCTCTTTGACCACAGTCTGGTGATGACAACCATTCAAGACCAGACAAATCATACCTCCTCTGCAAAGTCATCATATGTGATGATAGTTTATCAGACAGGAGAGCAGCGAGATAAGAGGCAGCAGACTGCCAAGCTCGTTCAAATCTGCATGACTTCTCTGCAACCTTGCACAGTTTTTCATTGTAGAGCACTGACAGGAGCTGATAAAAGAGCCTTCTGTGGTTCACGGCGAACAGACATAGACCTGAAATATGCTACGCATGTGTCTGTGGAGCCATCGAAACAGCAAAGTTTTTAAAATATTTAAAGAAAGTTACTTGTCTAAAATTCTTACGAGTCATTTGTGTGTAGTTTTAAAGTTGTGTGCCTGCATGGGCGTGAAACACAAATAGTTATTCAAACCCCCTGGATGTCAGTGCCATTTGTTCAGCTGATGTGTGTCATTCAATTCAGAAGCTCCCAAAGCATCTTTCCACTGTCAATGCTCATAAATATCTCTTAACACAGCATTTTGAATACATGCTGACTGTGCCTTTTTCCTGTTTAGCCCGATGACTGTGCCCTTCAGCTGTCCCATAATGGAAGCTACTTGGACCTGGAATCTACGCTGGCAGAACAGCGAGATGAACTGGAGGGATTTCAGGAGGATGGAGGGTAAGATAATAATCGCCGCCATTTCTGTCTCCACTCTCGGCGAATGTGCACAGCCGCCGAAATAAAGAACATTCTCTACACTGTGCTGAATTTAAAAAGCTGAAATAAAACTAGATTCTGGCGTTAAAAAACTTGGCCTTAATATTCCTTGCACTTCAAAAGGTGCTGCTCAGACTGATGCCAGAGCCACTCAGGCTGAAAACTAAAGTGGGACTGGCACGGTCTAGCAGGTGGATACAGTAATGTACGATGCTTGCCAGGTTTTGATTGTCCAGGAATAGATTGTTCCTGTTGCTGTGGTCAAATAGCGGTGCAAATACTTTTTTTTTCTTTTGGGGGGGGGGGACTGAGTGATTTTAAAGCTTTTGATTACAACAGTCTGACTTAAAAAAATCTTGACAGTCAGGCATATTTCAGTACAATGTGAGTATTTTTAGTGGAAGAGAGATTTGAAGCAAGACAAGAGGGAAAAGCTATAGTATTTAATCCTTGCCACTGGGAATGCATATTAATAAACATTTTTACTATATTCCTTTGCCTAATTTAATGCTATTAAAGGGATTTGTCTAATGATACTTATTTGGATCTAGAATGAATGATCCCTTTTCCGAATGATCCTTTTTTGAACTGTGCCTTCCTCTATTAAAAGAACAGAGGAGAAGGTCTTTACTCCACCTGAGAGTCTCCTAGGAAAAAGAGACTCTGATTTTCCTCACATAGGTTTTGTGAGTCTCTCAAGGGTATTTTATCTGCATGCAGGTCACTAAAATGATCGTGTTTGTTGTATTTTTAAAAGACCTTGCAGTAGTAGCAGTTGCAGGATTTTATAAAGTTGGTTCGGTGGTGATACTGGTGCCCTTTTTTTAGTAGACTGAAAAATCTTGGAATTTCCATCGAATTGATCTATTTGTGTCGAGTGGCACCAAGGTTGTAATCTTAACCACTTGTGTTCTAGTCATGTCTCATGAGTAATCACCCACATCTCTTTGTGACTTTACTTTGGTTCTCATTTAGAGCACTGGGGCAGCTACACAGTATACACCCTCCTAACACTCAGCTAACGATTTAGCCATATTGTTTCTGCGTAATGTGTAGGTAGATATTGCTTTGGCTTGACACAGCTCCTGGAGCTGGATGAAGAAAAAGTTCACAGTTGTGTTAGGTTAACTTCTGGTTCATACATTTTCCTTGGCCATTTACTTTATTGGCTCCATACATTTTTTTCATGTACTGTGCAGTATATTGATACATCCTTCATGTACTGCCCACTTTAGATGATCACAAACCAAAGGTTGGCATGAAAGTTCCTGGTCAGTTGGACCACAAACATGTATGGATTTATTTGTCTAACTTGAAATTCATAAGCTGCTCTCTGGCTTGGTGTTTCTGTTGGAAGTTGGGAGCGCTGGCCTTTCCCAGTTCCAGCTGAAATTGTTAGGAGCTTATTGGAGGCTATTAAGAGCTGTGAGGTTAAAGTGGTCCACTTCTTCTCTCGTCAAAGACTGAGCCTGCATGGGTCGGTGTTGTGCCAGCTGGCACGAGCTGGTATGGATGTGTGTCATTAAACCCACACAGCGTTGTCTGAGGAGGCTGGGGGGGGGTGAAGGTGGTTAGCCAATTATTTAGTAAAAATAGGGCAGTGCTGCTCATTGGCTTTTTACGGTGCTGATGGGCCCAGAATTACACCCCCCACTGCTCAGTGTTCTTGATTTGATGATTATTGAGCCAATAAAAGGTCTGATGAGGGATTTCACCCTTACTTGTTCCATTTTGTTTTGTTTTCGCTCTCATTTTTACTGCATATGATCTGTCAGCAGCAGTCATAACACCCGAGTATTTAACATAAAGAAGAAAAAAAAAAGCTGACTTGCCAGACAAAACCAACGGTTGTTTTTTACTTTCTGGGTTTTCCACGTTTATCTCAAAATAAACCTCCTGCAATAACTTCAGATGACAAGCGAAAATGATGCTTTCATCATGCTTTCACTATTTTAGCTTTAAGCTAAGTCACCTACTACTAGAAAAGGGAGTAGTGCAATAGTTCTGAGCTCCCCTGATCATTGGCAATTGAATCCATCTGTAATTGATATTAATGACAGGTTACATTCCTGAGGCGCCTGTGTCATACCTAGTGTCTTTACAATCAGATTAAAGTATGATCCTCTGACAGAACGCTGCGAGAGCCAGGAGATATCCATGTCACGGGAGCTTAAGGGCCATAATCACTTCCACGCCACGTTATGTAGCTCAGCTATACAAGATTGTGACTCGTAAATCCCCTTGTCCCCTCTCTGATACCACCCCACTTCTGGTTACAAACTGACCATGTAGTTCAGACACGTGCAGAGGCATATCTGCACAGTTCCTGGCAGAGTGTGTGTGTATTCTAGCTGTGATAGATTGACACACACGCTGTTTTTTTGGCACTGTAGTTGGAGGTGGAGTATGCGGGACGTGTTCTCGTAGGACCAGGATGGATAGAAAAGTTGTAGCAAATTTGTTTTGATCTTTTAGGGGAAAAACAGTGTTGTGCGATAGTGTTGAGTTATGTGTCGAGCTTGACACATTGTAAGACATATTCCCTGGCTTGTCTTTATAGGATAACATGAAATGCTGTTATTGACTGGATAATGGATTCAGCATGTGGATTTTATTTTTTAGCATTTTCTTTCACCTTTTCGCATTTCACGCTGTAGTAGATGTAATTTCTGTTAGAAAGCCAGCAATTATATGCTGAAAATGCTCTTGCTGGTTTTATTGAGTGTTTCTGATGTGTTTGACAACTATTCAAAAGTCAGACATATTAAAAATCTATCCGTTCTTGCTCTGAAGGCCTCAGAAATTCAGCGTTTCTCATCACATCCTTTCATGTCTCCGAGGGCAGCTCTGCTTTCTTTATTTTCGCTTTTTTTCTGACCCACTTGGACATTGTTTCATAGATGCTCGAAGCACACAAGGTTTTCATTTGAAGAAGAAAAAGTTGACTTGAAAAGAACCAGAGTAATTGTCAGACTTAAAACTTTACCCCACCTGGCTTACTCGGGCACTGGAGGTCCCGCTACAGACGCAGTGATACGGGAGCCTTCTCGAACAGGGGTGTCCAAGAAGTGCTGAGTCAGTAGACCTCAGCGGGGCCTTCTTGTCTGGCATTAATTGGTCTTTGAGGGGGAAGTACTGGCTTTACTGTATTCCAAGTATGTGTGTTCACTTTCTGTGGGTACACATTTTGTGATGTTTTATAAACAGGGCCAGTAATGCTCCCTTAGATAAAGCCAGAGAGCATTGAGCTGGCAGGCATCCACCGGTCCAGTTGCTGCTGCTCTGTATGAGGATTAAGCCCGAGCTTTATGAGGTGCTGTACAACGGGGCAGTAAAGGGGCAATCAAGATGGGGAACGTAAGGTTTTATTTTTTAAATTTTTATTTATTTATTTTTTTTGTCGGGTACAGTTGTTAACTTTCTGCAGCTGCATTCCTGTTTGCTATGTTTGATAGAGAAATTGATGATGATGAGCATTTGGTTGGTGCCTTGAAATGCCCACTACTTTTTATAAATGTTCATACTAAATAACAATGTCCATATGTTTTCATTTAATCTATTATCAAGTGCTCTACTTTTGACCATTTGACTTGTGTAATGGTCAGGAAGTATGACATAAGTAGGAAGTAAGTGGTTTAGATTGCATTCAGTCCTTTTGTGATATTATAAAAAGTAGTAATTCAGTGATTCACCTATTTCAGAAGCTTCATGTATATTATGAATCAAGGTTAATTTGGCTCACAAGATTTTCATGGCTCACTATTATATACCAGCATGCCCCCAATTTGTTATTTAGCTGACATTCTTTATAGTTTTCATTGTTTAAGAAGGTTTGGGCTCCATCTTTTATAGGCCTGCAGCACTGTCTGCAGGAGTGTTCAATTTTCATGTTTAATTGGTGGTGGTGGGGGTCGGGGTCTGAAAACCTCACTTATATTCCATGCACGTTTGTTTAATTTGATAATGAGCACGTTGGCCTGTGTAGCCTCAGGTCTTGGTTAAGCACAGGGATACTGTTGCATCTAAGCGGAGAGAAAGCAGACATTCGTGACAAAATGGGTCTAGTTACCGATTTGCCTCAACAGCATCACAAGGGATAAAGTTCCTGTTTGCCGTCTCATCTCGCAGCGAAGGGCCCTGTTGACAGATGTTGCTCCTGTGTCGCCTCTGCCTGTTGCGGGATATTATATTTGATAAACAGTGAGGATAAGCAGACTTCCCCTGTCATGTCACGCGCTTGTGCGCGTATCAGCTCGGCCTCCCGCTGACTGGTTGGGGCAGGAAAAATGTCAGTGTGTCAGTCTGTCTGGGTCTGTTTGTATGTGGCGAAGCAGCAGTAGGAAGTGCCTTCTGCACCGATACAGTTTTTTCTCTTTCTGTCAGAGCCGCTCACGCCCGACGGTTTGAAAGTGACAGTCTGCTGCTGGCACTGCGCCGGTCAGAACAATCACACAAACTCTATGCAGCCAGCATAAAAGCCCATTTGTCAGTGAGCCAAATTAGGAAGGGAGGGTAGGGGGGTGTTGCGCAACTCTACCTGCTGTGCTCTTGTCTACATTTGGCCTGCTAGGTTTGTTTGTGTGTTTCTTTAGGTAGTTGGGAGGTTAAAGGCCCAATGAAGGATCTAACCTCAAGCAAAACAGTGATCAACCAACCTACTTTATAATTTTTTTATTTTTAAAATGAAAGTAATTAAAAACTGTTAAATGATTAGGTCTGGGAGTACCACACACCGAGTATGGGAGCAGCAAAGTATTGAGAGTTGAACTTTTGCAAACTTCAGTGTCTGTTCACAGACACTAGAGAATTAACTTTTGAGGGATCTAAACTGTTCTCACATTCACTATCAGGACTGAATAGCATTCAGGGGCATTGTTGTCTTCTTTGTTTTTGATTTTCATTCGCACATTGTGAGCTCTTGACAGGATGCTGACAGGGTCTTGGCATATCTCCATTAACGCAGGGGGTGGAGCTGACCTCAGAGTTGCTCCCATCCTTCATTTTCATTGATGAAGACCTTTTCCCTGATCTGCTTCCTGCTGTGTTCAAACTGCAAATGTTGCCTGAAACGGAACAGAATAATTTGTTGAAAAAGGCTCGAAGATCATTTTGCACCATTTAACAACAGCGTTTCAGCTCCATTATCCTGTCAACATGTGCACCTATGTCTGGCACGCACATGAAAATTGAAATGATCACAATGGTCCAATACCTTCTGACATGTTGCTTTATCTCCGTTTGTCTTTTGTCTTTGTAGACGAGGAAAGAAACACGGCATCATTCTTCGAACGCAGCTATCAGTCAGAGTTCACGCGTGCATCGGTGAGTAATAAAACTGTGCTCCAAACTCTGCATTTGTCACATTTCCCTCTATAATTTGTCTCCTTCTGACTACATCAGCTTTAATTAGCTCTGTCACCAGTTGATTATTTTATGTAGATCCTTGTAAAAGTTGCACAGCAGCACTTGTGGAAAAAAGCCAAGTGACAGCACCGTTTCAGCAACAGTACGAACACAGAGCACTGGCACGGAGCAAACCCTGAAAACATTTTATGTTTTTGGACTTACTGGGTTCTGTCACTTTGTTTAATTGGGCCTCCTGGTATCTTTGAGTAATGTGAGGGAACCAGCATAGAGCTGAGTGAAAACATATGCAAACATGCATGCACATGGCATGTGTGCCGACCCATACGCTCACACACAAAAAGCCTTTTGATTAAACTGAGGATGGCTAATCTTTTACTAACTGCATTGTACTCTCTGATTTAGATTTAGCTACTTTATTTTTCCACATCTTTATGGAAAGATTAAACCAACAAGGTTTTATCTGTTTTGTTACCTTTTTTTTTTTAATATTTTTAATACAATAAATTACTCCACATGCTTTTAAGAAGTCATTTTCCAGTAGAGCATTGAGGCTGTCGGTAATGTCATTCGGAGGAACACATGCCTCCTCTGCAGGCATCAAGTGCAAAAATAACCCAAGGTCTGCAAAGGCTATTAGGCTGTAAATTGTCAGATTTTATATTTGGCTGCTTGCAGTACAAGTGAACCAAAAACACAGACATTTTTCATTTGAATGAGGTCACTATGATGAGAGAACTATCTGAGGGTCCTTCTTGGTTGTTTATTGTACCTGCTGATGATAATGGAAAGGTTGGGAAAATTGCTCGTTCAGGGACTGATGAGACAACGGAGAAACACAGCTTTTCCTCCAACCTGATTAACTCAAGTTTGCACATGTTGATTGCAAAAAAAGGATTTCTCTTTCATGTGTTTTACACTGTAATTATGTAATTGATACAGTAGACCTATCATATGTTATGCATCGTTAAATTCTTGTTGTTAACGATACTGATTTAATAACAGTGGATAACCAAAAGTCATTTCTAATCAGTGCTTGATGTAACATGTCACACGTTTAACGTGGCCGTACTTGTGAATATTTGGCTGAACACAACTCACAACTGAACTGGCTTTCTTCTCTCCTCCTGCTGGTGCTTGGCTTAGCTTAGTGGAGCCTGGGGAGTGACCGACAGACTTGCTGCTCTTCTCTAAGTGGATGATGACCCTCTTTCTCTCTAAGTTGACAGCCACCTGTTGCCCCTCTCCAGTCTCCCTCGGTGAATGCCTGGGTGGTTAGCTGATTTATTTCCTCAAGCTGAGGTGGTCACTGTTACTGTAAATTGTCCAGACATTTGAGCCTAATTTTATCTGACTAGTGAGCTTACCTCGTAGCCCCATGAGTACAGAATTACTGGGTGATTTTCTTGTTATGTGTAGTACATAATTCATTAGTTTCCCAAGCACAAATGGCGTGCTATACTTCAGGCTTTGCCCTTGCTCTGTATTAACGGATAGAGTATTTCTCTAAAATGCCTATAAATTTCAGTGACTTTGTTCTTTAGCTGGCCACATTCTTTTGTCTGCATATAATCAATAATCACGTGCAATAAAATTAAAAGAAAGCTGCACTCTGTTGTAATAAAATATGTTTGTACAAGAGCCAGTAATAGATGTACGGAGGCATTAAAGTAGCTTTAACACTAAGATTGTCTAAAGCTCTGGATTTTCTTTTTCTTTTTTGCACACTTAAGCACACTTAAGATTGTGTGCTAGAATAGTACACCCACGTCGTTAAGATATTCTGTTTATCCTAGAGGCCCCCTTCATGAACATGAGTGATGAGTTGGTTACAGCGGTGTGTATTCTAATCGGTATCATTTAGCACTATTTTGTGGAAAACATGTTGTGTGTATTTCAAGTTTGAATTAAGCCGTACATTGCCTTGTTTACGTTATCTGGGTTTTTTGGCTTTCTCCAAATGTACTCATCACAGGGGCAGCTTTCTATTTGTCTGTCTGTGTGTATGTGTCATGAACCACAGCGAGACCTAATCCGGGCTTCCTTAATCATAGTCATTAGCACTCACATGCATATGTCAAGACAGAAATCTGTGCAACAGAGGGGAGGAAGGAAATGCTTCACCCAAGGAGTTAATGGTTTATTAAACTGCTTTTTACTAATCCGCTGCTGTTGTAATCACAAAGTGAGATCATCTGGTTTCTTTGTGTGCTAAAAGTACCTACCTGGCACTAAACTATGTTTTAGCTAAGCGTATTTTCATTATCTTGAGCTGTTTTATAATCGCTAACATTTACGATAAATGAAGCCTAAATGACTTGTGTTCACTTTTATGGTGTTCAGGTGACTGTTTGACTAGATTGGCTTGTTAGTATGAGCCTTCCTGGAGCTTAGAGGCCATAAACAGTGCTCGGCAATGATGAATGTAATGAATAACAGTGGAATGGATATCTCACTATAAAAGATCCAGAGCACTATGTGGAGGCAGTCTGAAGCTGTTTAGGTATTTGTATTTATGTCATAAGGTTTCATTTGATTCATTTTTTGTCTTTGGATAACCTGTAGAAGTTATAGTTTGAGCTTTGTTTGCATTTTGTAGGACCAGCATAGCAGCTCGGGATTTAGACAATAACCTCAGCTTGTCCCTCTCAGTGCGTTAGCGTCGGGCCCGGTCTGTTTAGATCTTTAGGCTGTTATTGTTGTTGGTGAACTAGATGTGGTATTGAGGGCCTGATTAAAGCAATCTCGTGATTATTTTCCTGTTGTCTGCCAGTCCTCTTTTTAAGTGCAGTTTTGTTTCTGAAGCTGCGGGAGTTGCTGTGTTGTCATGGCATGAAGAGGCTGAAGACAGACAGATGTATTAGTGTGAGCCGCAGAATGTTTTAATAGGGATACCAAGTTAAGAATTAACAAATGTCACATGTGCTTTGTAATCATTAGCAGTTCTCACAAAGTAAAAATTCCAAAATAGCTTTCTGTGGAATCATATGTGGATATAGACTCAGTGGGCTGCGATGGGCCCGCTTTTGCCTTCGAAGTTGCCTTAATTCTTCTTTACTGATTCAACAAGAGGCTGAAAACATTTCTCAGAGAGAGATTTGTCTATCTTATTGTTATGATGGCATCACACACACAGTTGCTGCAAATTTGTCGATTGCACATCCATGACATGGATTGAAGTGAAAACTGGGAACTGTGGAGGTCATTTGTTCGAAGCAGCCATCAGAAGATGGGCACACTGTAGTCGTAAAAGTATAATCGTGGTTAGCAATGATACTCGGGTAGACTGTGTGGTTTAATAATGCAAAATGTGTTCCAAGAAAATATCCCAAATGCCATTACACCACAACACCAACCTGAAACATTGATGGAAGCCAGGCTTAATCCCTGTTTTCATGCTCACACCAAACTCTGATCGCACCATCTGAATGTTACAGCAGAAGCTGATTTCTGTCTGGATCTGCTTCAAGGTTCAATGTCTCGTGCGCGGTTACAATGAGTTGTTAATTGACTTACTCTCTCATTCCTATCAGCTATCAAAGTAGTCTAGGCCAGCGATCCCCAACCCCCGGGCCACGGGCCGAGTCATTTGGTACCGGGCCGTGAGAGTTGAGACTCGGGTGTGAAATGTATGCTTTTCAGGGTTTATATCGGTTTTTAGCGTTATTTTGTTATCGTTTTTATCGTTAACTCGGTTTTCCTGGGTCTTTTCACATGTGTTATGAATAAATCTTCTTTTTTTCGGTACCGGTACTAGTTTTATTTTGTTGTATTTATCCGCGACACCTTAAAGGCCGGTCCGTGAAAATATTGTTGGGCACAAATCGGTCCGTGGCGCAAAAAAGGTTGGTGACCGCTGGTCTAGGCCATTCCCCTCTAACTTCAGGGTAGCAACAAGGCATTTTCAAATGCCTTTTTGTTTTTCCATTTTCTCTTTTTAGACCATTCTCTATAAATCCTAGAGATTGTTATGTGGAAAATCCCAGTAGATCAGCAGTTTCTGAAATACTCATATCAACCCCTTTGGCATCAACAACCATCCCATCTTCAAAGTCTCTCAGATCACCTTTTTTCCCCATTCTGATACTGTGTTTAATCGTCAGCAGGTCAACTCTACGATGCCTACATCTATTGAAATGCTAGAATGTGATTGGCTAATACTTGTTTTACTGAGGAGTTGAAGAGGTGTACCTAACAAACTGTCAGGTAAGTGTATATGATCAGAGCTTGCTCCTGTGCCAAATCGTGTGATTTATGCAAAGCTAAATATCTGATGTGGTAAATCTGTCAGCTGCAGTCTGCAAATTATGTTGTCACTGTAATACCCATAGAGAGCCATCACAAGTTAGGGTAGTGCAAAGCTTTTTCTTTCTTATTAGCAAATGCCTTCTATTGTCAGAGGTCGAAATCATACATTTCAAAGCTCAAGTTTGTTGATATTTCCCTTTGAGAGCAGGTTCATCTGTCAACACACTGATCCCAGCTGAAGAGTGGCGACACATTCTCGCTGGATTATCTGCCTTGTCTTTTACAACCTCTTATAATCCGGGCTCAGGGCATGAATCATTGTGACCGCTCGTTGTTGACTTGTGTTTTCTCTTAAAGCTATAATTTTGTCAAATTGGTAGTTTTGATCTTCAGGTTCACAACTGAAAACTCTGTGGTCGTTAAAGTGGAAGACTATGAGCTGTAAATTTTCTTCAATTATCCCTCTGCACACCATGCTGGAAGATTAGTTCCTGGCAACTAACAGTGCACATTAAGAGCTTGGGCTCTTTACATGTTTGTTTGTCTAATTAATCTATTATTGTGTGGGTGAATGGGTGATGTCAGCACAATAGCTTAAAATGATAAGATCACCTGTGGGTTTTCGTGTTGCTCCCAGCCACAGTGTCTGTTTTTTCCAGACACCCTGCCAGATATGTACTTAGCGATCTGCACTTTTTGTCCACACACAT